CACACACATATACATACACACACAGAATGAAGACAAGAGATACACTTGCAAACAAATTGTATATAAAACAATATACACAGACACATGCACATACTCACATCATACTGTACAAATGTGCATAGAGACATACACAACCCTCACCACACATGCATACACACAACCATACCAACACAGATGCACACACAGAAACAACAGCACATACAGACACACACACAGCAGCAGAGTGCTTTTTATGCATCTAATACCCATTCATTGTCAAGGAGTTGTCTCATTGATGAGTAAAGTTCTGAAACAAATGAACATTCATTGAAAAGAAGAAAAGCCTTTGATATAAAAACAAATCAACCAACCCCCATATTTTGTATGTTTTACCAGGACTTGATCCAGAAGGCTAAGAGCCATTAATGTGGCTGTGTTGGTGGATTGTTCCACTTACTGAGCTACAAAGAGCTTGCTTCAACAAATAAAATAAGAAGCTCCTCACACAGTCAGCACAACAAAAGTCAATGTGGACTAAATTGTGGATGACTTTTCATTGCTCTGATGCGAAATACATTCAATTTACATCTCTTTTCAAGAGTCATGAACTGTTTTCTGACTCAGACTCAAACACCACCAAAACCTATTTTGCACATGTTTACATACTATTGTAAAAACAGAAAAATAAGGTCGCACAATCCACGCAACAAAGAAGTGTCATTCTTTTATTGTAATGGAATCTTGATTTCTGCTGCTACTCCTTGTTAGTGTTTTTTTAGGTCATTGTTTAGGACAAAGTGTTACTGTGACAAATGTTATCAGTGGAGTTCTGAGGTTAAGTTTTTGGGTTGCATTAGTGCATTTTGGAGTGTCAGTGAAGAGACTGAAGGTTTTGTGGGGATGTTTTTTCTTATTGGAATCAAGGTTTTAAGGATAGAGGGCGTTGCTGTATGCTGTACAGGCTGCAGAAATGTGCAAAAACTGTAAGGCAAGTGTACTTCAGAATAACGGTTTTCCTTTAATTTGTAAGATCACAGTCTGTTCTCTATCACCTATAGTAAATTAAGGATACACGAAAATCATTTTCCTCTGTCAGTATTGTGTCTAGAATATTGCTATAGGACCTTATGAGCGGGCAAAGGGGGAATCAACAGCGGGATTTCTGTTAAGTGATGACTTTGGTTTTTATTCTTACTACTGAAACATTTTCATAATCTTCATGTATATCAATGAGGAGAATATGGGCCATTTGTAAATAATTATGATCAATCAATAATTAATTAACTAATTCCTGAATTCCTTCAGATTGATTGCACGGTAGATGTGACGGATTAAACAACACGATGCAAAGGTTTTGGGATCTTTTTTAATACAGGATTACTTGCCAGTCATTTGTCATTTGTCATGTACTTTTACAGCGGACAGTACCCGCAGCTTACCTGTCCAGAGCGATGGCAGTCATTGAGTAGATGCTGGCAAAGACAGCTGCGATCGGAAAGAAGTTGTGGAAGCGGCAGTAGACCAGTCCGAAGTACCACTCGTTGTGCACGGCGTATGTGAAGTTGATCACCGTGTTGAAGGCGGACATGGAGGCTTCAGCGAACGCCAGGTTCAGTAGGAAATAGTTGGTGACCGTCCTCATGCGTTTATGAGCCATGATAATCCAGATCACCGTAATATTGCCTACCACGGACACGATCACTATACAGCTGTACGCAATGGCCCACAGGACAATTCTCCAGACTGGCTGCACAAACTGGTTCCAGTTCACGGTCCCGTTACTGGTGTCGTTTGTCCAATTTGGCACGTCGGTGGTATTAAATAAAGGATCCATTTTGCTGAGTAAGACCGAAAGTCACACTAAAATCACTGTCTGTAAACCCGATTCAGTATATAGCAAAGTTAAAGACCCCGGTGCCAAATGCAAAGTGAGCAATCAAAAGTTTCAGAAGAGCTTCTCCGCCTCTCGCTCTGCTTAGAGTGTCTGCAATTTTCACTTAGACTCCGCTGTCTTGGAAATATTAAATTCAGGAATTCAGTACAAGTATTTTTCGTGGATACGTCGATAACCATCTATTAAAACCTGTTCATCTTTAACACTTTTCGCTCTGCGTAAAAACGAAAACGCGCCTTTTACGCGCCTTGCAGCACCACAACCAGTCTCTAGTATCTGAGCTCTCCGTCCTCTCTCCCTCCCTCAGCGACTCTGTGCTCTCCTTCTGCTCCTCTGCACAAACTGAGCGGCTGCACACCAGCTTATGGAGCGAGCCGCTGCGCACCCGTCCAATAGGCAGTCTCTGTAATTATGATTATGGATGAGCCCAGGTAAGTAATTCATTCCATCCGACTCAGACCACACGGGGAAGCCAACAGGATTATCGTGCCTAAATACCTCTTATGTAATTTAATTTGCTCATAATTCCTTTGTAGAAAATAACAACAGCACACAAGCAGAAGAATGGATGAATGAATTCAGACAGCAAATACATAATTATAAAAATAGGCTAAGAACAATGATAATGTAGAAGTTGTGATAATAATAGCTTTAGTTGTGTAGTGGTAGCAGCAGTGGATGTCATTTATGTTGAATGGATTTAATCTCCAAATACAACTAAATGTGCTGTGTAATGTGGTGAGGTGCCACACTGTTTGAATGTCCCTGTCTTCCCACTCACTGCCCCCTCTTGTGGACTCACAGTCTGGACTGTATATTTGGAGAATGGCTGCTTCATAGGAGGTTTACACACTGATAAAAGATTAATTGCAGTAATGTGACACGCTTCAGAAGGCTTCTTTACACCTTTCACAGCAAAAGACCTACATTGTTATACTCTCATACCCAGTTACAATAAGTAAAAATTCAATGATAATGACAATGAGTAGAAATATGTATGTAAAACACATTTAATAGTACAATACAATGACCTGACTTAGCCTTGTTCCAGGCTCCCTTTTTCCTGTGTGCATTTGCAAGGGCCTTTCCAGAAGAGCATGGTGAGAGGATGAATGAGGTCATTAAGAGAGCTACTTTCAGGCATGCTATTGGACCCTGGACAGCATTGAAAGACTGTAGAGTGAGAAGTTGAATGAACTTCAACCCCC